TAAATACTTTCATTAGTCCCTAGCCTTATCTTATAGTTAGGATAGCCTTATGCCTATCCCACGCATGCTTAAACTCCTTTACTGTGTTAACCTCTACCACTTCAGCTGGAAGGCTATCCCATGCATCCACTACCCTCTCAGTAAAGTAAATATAAATATAGTCTCCTCCTTTACTGTGTTGATTCCCTTTATATATTTAAATGTTTCTATCATATCCCCCCTGTCTCGTCTTTCCTCCAAGCTATACATGTTAAGATCCTTTAACCTTTCCTGGTAAGTTTTATCCCGCAATCCATGAACCAGTTTAGTAGCTCTTCTCTGAACCCTCTCTAAGGTATCAATATCCTTCTGAAGATACAGTCTCCAGTACTGTGTACAATACTCCAAGTGAGGTCTCACCAGTGTTCTGTACAATGGCATGAGCACTTCCCTCTCTCTACTGCTAATACCTCTCCCAAGCATTCTGCTAGCATTTCCTGCTGCTCTATTACATTGTCTGCCTACCTTTAAGTCATCAATGTATATATATGAAAAAACATTTAGCGTAATTACCTGTTTTTGTTTTTGTTGGTTCAGCTTCGTGCTTCTTTACTGGAATCTCTGTGGAAGATATTACATTCCATGATATATCATAATTGATATGGGAGTAGGTAGAGTAAGTGCCTCTACCTCGATGACCTACATGTTATTGTACATCATTAGGTCTTAACATCTCTACAAAAATGAAAAAACATTTAGCGTAATTACCTGTTTTTGTTTTTGTTGGTTCAGCTTCGTGCTTCTTCACTGGAGTCTCTGTGGAAGATATTACATTCCATGATATACCATAATTGATATAGGAGTAGGTAGAGTAAGTGCCTCTTCATATGAAATATACATTGAATTTAAATGAAATAATAGTTTTTTTGCTATCATACTTTTCCTCAATGATTTCATCAGAAATATGAAAACTCTTACACATTTGCTGAGAAGGCCATTAGAATGGAGGAGACTAAATGAGTACACATTGGAAAAATAATAACACATGTTTCTCAAGAATATACAAATAATGTAAGCCGTAGAGCACAAATATCTCATGACAAAAGTCCTAATGCTAATAGTATACAAAGGCAATTCCAAGGCAATATTGATACTGTACTATTATCATATACTTTCTGTTGTATTCTTTGCTGTTTGGAATTCAAAGTTTGAATGCATGTTTAGTAGGTGTATAATATCAGATCTATAATATAATGGAATGTCTTTTGAATATAAATAATAAACGTTTGTTTTAGCTTCTTGAATAACTATAAAGCTCTTTCTATATTCTAAGTGGGGTTACCATCAGATATCACTGGGTTCCTTACAAAATGATTTTAGTTTAAACTCTTTTAAACACAGAATGTATTCTCTATTTATCTAACAACCAGTGCCATGCTTTCATTCTCATAGATCTTAAGCTTGTTTGATTAGGCCTTTCTTTACCTTCAATTATCCCCTTCTATAATTGTAAGGCCCAGTAGAATATGTTGGCACTATATAAATGCTAATAAAAAAATTCCAAAAAGTGGTTTAAAGTGCTAAAAATAAGACAATCGTTGCTCAAACAAGAGGTTTTGATACTCTTCTCCTTTTACATTTTTTGCATCGTTCTTTAGTTCAGAGTATATTCATAAATCTCCCTTCGCTTGTATTGTCGTGGAATTAGCCACATGTTATTTCACGTCATTACGTCCTAATATCTCTCCAAAAATTACAAACTATTTCACATAATTACCTGTTTTTGTTTGTTCAGCTTCCTGCTTCTTAACTGGAGTCTCTGTGGAAGATATTAAATTCCATGATATATCATAATAGATATGGGAGTAGGTGGAGTAAGTGCCTCTACCTGGATAACCTATATGTTATTTTACATCATTAGGTCTTAACATCTCTACAAAAATGAAAAAACGTTTAGCGTAATTACCTGTTTTTGTTTTTGTTGGTTCAGCTTTGTGCTTCTTCACTGGAGTCTCTGTGGAAGATATTACATTCCATGATATATCATAATTGATATGGGAGTAGGTAGAGTAAGTGCCTCTGCCTCGACGACCTACATGTTATTTTACCTCATTAGGTCTTAACATCTCTATAAAAATGAAAAAACATTTAGCGTAATTACCTGTTTTTGTTTTTGTTGGTTCAGATTCGTGCTTCTTCACTGGAGTCTCTGTGGAAGATATTACATTCCATGATATACCATAATTGATATAGGAGGAGGTAGAGTAAGCGCCTCTTCCTTGATGACCTACATGTTATTTTACATCATTAGGTCTTAATATCTCTACAAAAATGAAAAAACATTTAGCGTAACTACCTGTTTTTGTTTTTGTTGGTTCAGCTTCGTGCTTCTTCACTGGAGTCTCTGTGGAAGATATTACATTCCATGATATATCATAATTGATATGGGAGTAGGAAGAATAAGTGCCTCTAACTCGATGACCTACATGTTATTTGACATCATTAGGTCTTAACATCTCTACAAAAATGAAAAAACATTTAGGGTAATTACCTGTTTTTGTTTTTGTTGGTTCAGCTTCGTGCTTCTTCATTGGAGTCTCTGTGGAAGATATTACATTCCATGATATATCATAATTGATATGGGAGTAGGTAGAGTAAGTGCCTCTAACTCAATGACCTACATGTTATTTTACATTATTAGGTCTTAACATCTCTACAAAAATGAAAATACATTTAGGGTAATTACCTGTTTTTGTTTTTGTTGGTTCAGCTTCGTGCTTCTTCACTGGAGTCTCTGTGGAAGGTATTACATTCCATGATATATCATAATTGATAAGGGAGTAGGTAGAGTAAGTGCCTCTAACTCGATGACCTACATGTTATTTTACATTATTAGGTCTTAACAACTCTACAAAAATGAAAATACATTTAGCGTAATTACCTGTTTTTGTTGGTTCAGATTCGTGCTTCTTCACTGGAGTCTCTGTGGAAGATATTACATTCCATGATATATCATAATTGATATGGGAGTAAGTGCCTCTAACTCGATGACCTACATGTTATTTTACATTATTAGGTCTTAACATCTCTACAAAAATGAAAATACATTTAGCATAATTACCTGTTTTTGTTTTTGTTGGTTCAGCTTCGTGCTTCTTCACTGGAGTCTCTGTGGAAGATATTACATTCCATGATATATCATAATTGATATGGGAGTAGGTAGAGTAAGTGCCTCTAAATCGATGACCTACATGTTATTTTACATCATTAGGTCTTAACATCTCTACAAAAATGAAAAAAACATTTAGCGTAATGTGGCGAAACCAACCTCGCCACTGTACACTGGAGAAGCCTGGTTGCTCGCCTGCTGCCTTTGGACTATAGCCCCATGTTAAAAGACAACTTTTTACCTGCAGAAAAGACTTATTCATGCTTTTCTGCCGGGTGTTCGGTAGATTCAATCTACCGAACAATCGCACGAATGAATAGACCACCTGGGAGCTGGAGTGTGCCGGTAATTAACCTCCCTGAAGCTGTGGTTAACCGCAGCTTAATTGACGAATGCTGGGTGGCCGCCATTCGTATCACGAACACGAGGTCGCGGCCATTTTAAACATGCGAGTGCACAGCGGTGTTCGACGCTTAATTCATGGAACTGAAATCGGATACAGTTTTGCGCGAACACCGCTGAAGCCGCCGACCTCCCTTCTTGTTCGGTGAAAGTGCACGAACGGCCCAGTGTTCGGTAGTTTTGTTTGAGTGTGTTGTACCCCAGATAGAAATCCCATGGAGCCCATTCGCAAGAAACGATTAAACAGTATTCGTGTGGTCTGAGCGCCATTCACTTAATAATGTGCGCTCAGACCTGAGCTATCTGGGGATATGTAGAACGTATATGTTTTATGTACTGAATGTAACTGTAGGTAATTTATGTCTTTTACTGTTTGTTTTCTGACATGTGGTTAATGGAGTTTTGCCTCTGTCTTTGGAGATAATTGAATTACTTCTCAATTATCTCCAGGGCAGAGAGGAGGGATTGTGATGCATTGTGGGATGGTTGAAAAGTAAGTGCCTCTAACTCGATGACCTACATGTTATTTTACATCATTAGGTCTTAACATCTCTACGAAAATGAAAAAAACATTTAGCGTAATGTGGCGAAACCAACCTCGCCACTGTACACTGGAGAAGCCTGGTTGCTCGCCTGCTGCCTTTGGACTATGGCCCCATGTTAAAAGACATATTTTTCCCTGCAGAAAAGACTTATTCGTACTTTTCTGACGGGTGTTCGGTAGATTCAGTATTTGGAGATAATTGAATTACTTCTCAATTATCTCCAGGGCAGAGAGGAGGGATTGTGATGCATTGTGGGATGGTTGAAATGTGTAAGTCTGTGATTGGTCCTTTTACCCTTTGTGTCCCAGTCTCCCATTTGGTCCCCTAGGGGAGTGTCCACCAGGTGGGAGACCTTCATAAAAGCCGGGCAGTTAGCCCCAGTAAATTAGATTCTGCTTGACCCTCAAACCGAAGTGTCGTCTCGTCTATGGGGGGATTTACTGTATGCTGTTAGAGACTGATTGCCAGGAGTGTAAGCCGCTTGGGGGCTTTTCCTGTTCGTCTGCTAACAGCTATTCGTGTGTCTCTAGTTCGGGAGTTTAGAACACTACTTGATATGCAGTTCGGGAGTTTCGAGTATTCCCTTGGTTGCAGTTCGGGAGTTGGTGAATTCGTGGGTTTGCAGTAGCTGTCTGTGCATCTGAAAAAGGGGAATATCGCCTAAACGGTTTTTAACCTCGTGGGCAAAACGGTCCGTTACACGTAACTACCTGATTTTGTTTTTGTTGGTTCAGCTTCGTGCTTCTTCACTGGAGTCTCTGTGGAAGATATTACATTCCATGATATATCATAATTGATATGGGAGTAGGTAGAGTAAGTGCCTCTTACTCGATGACCTACATGTTATTTTACATCATTAGGTCTTAACATCTGTACAAAAATGAAAAGAAATTTAGGGTAATTACCTGGTTTTGTTTTTGTTGGTTCAGCTTCGTGCTTCTTCACTGGAGTCTCTGTGGAAGATATTACATTCCAAGATATATCATAATTGATAAGGGAGTAGGTAGAGTAAGCGCCTCTAACTTGATGACCTACATATTATTTTACATCATTAGGTCTTAACATCTCTACAAAAATGAAAAAACATTTAGGGTAATCACCTGTTTTTGTTTTTGTTGGTTCAGCTTCGTGCTTCTTCACTGGAGTCTCTGTGGAAGATATTACATTCCATGATGTATCATAATTGATAAGGGAGTAGGTAGAGTAAGCGCCTCTAACTTGATGACCTACATATTATTTTACATCATTAGGTCTTAACATCTCTACAAAAATGAAAAAACATTTAGGGTAATCACCTGTTTTTGTTTTTGTTGGTTCAGCTTCGTGCTTCTTCACTGGAGTCTCTGTGGAAGATATTACATTCCATGATATATCATAATTGATATGGGAGTAGGGAGAGTAAGTGCCTCTAACTCGATGACCTACATGTTATTTTACATCATTAGGTCTTAACATCTCAACAAAAATGAAAAAACATTTAGGGTAATTACCTGTTTTTGTTTTTGTTGGTTCAGCTTCGTGCTTCTTCACTGGAGTCTCTGTGGAAGATATTACATTCCATGATCTATCATAATTGATATGGGAGTAGGTAGAGTAAGTGCCTCTAACTCGATGACCTACATGTTATTTTACATCATTAGGTCTTAACATCGCTACAAAAATGAAAAAAACATTTAGCGTAATGTGGCGAAACCAACCTCGCCACTGTACACTGGAGAAGCCTGGTTGCTCGCCTGCTGCCTTTGGACTATGGCCCCATGTTAAAAGACATCTTTTTCCCTGCAGAAAAGACGTATTCGTACTTTTCTGCTGGGTGTTCGGTAGATTCAGTATTTGGAGATAATTGAATTACTTCTCAATTATCTCCAGGGCAGAGAGGAGGGATTGTGATGCATTGTGGGATGGTTGAAATGTGTAAGTCTGTGATTGGTCCTTTTACCCTTTGTGTCCCAGTCTCCCATTTGGTCCCCTAGGGGAGTGTCCACCAGGTGGGAGACCTTCATAAAAGCCGGGCAGTTAGCCCCAGTAAATTAGATTCTGCTTGACCCTCAAACCGAAGTGTCGTCTCGTCTATGGGGGGATTTACTGTATGCTGTTAGAGACTGATTGCCAGGAGTGTAAGCCGCTTGGGGGCTTTTCCTGTTCGTCTGCTAACAGCTATTCGTGTGTCTCTAGTTCGGGAGTTTAGAACACTACTTGATATGCAGTTCGGGAGTTTCGAGTATTCCCTTGGTTGCAGTTCAGGAGTTGGTGAATTCGTGGGTTTGCAGTAGCTGTCTGTGCATCTGAAAAAGGGGAATATCGCCTAAACGGTTTTTAACCTCGTGGGCAAAACGGTCCGTTACACGTAATTACCTGATTTTGTTTTTGTTGGTTCAGCTTCGTGCTTCTTCACTGGAGTCTCTGTGGAAGATATTACATTCCATGATATATCATAATTGATATGGGAGTAGGTAGAGTAAGTGCTTCTAACTCGATGACCTACATGTTATTTTACATCATTAGGTCTTAACATCTGTACAAAAATGAAAAGAAATTTAGGGTAATTACCTGGTTTTGTTTTTGTTGGTTCAGCTTCGTGCTTCTTCACTGGAGTCTCTGTGGAAGATATTACATTCCAAGATATATCATAATTGATAAGGGAGTAGGTAGAGTAAGCGCCTCTAACTCGATGACCTACATGTTATTTTACATCATTAGGTCTTCTAACTTGATGACCTACATATTATTTTACATCATTAGGTCTTAACATCTCTACAAAAATGAAAAAACATTTAGGGTAATCACCTGTTTTTGTTTTTGTTGGTTCAGCTTCGTGCTTCTTCACTGGAGTCTCTGTGGAAGATATTACATTCCATGATATATCATAATTGATATGGGAGTAGGCAGAGTAAGTGCCTCTAACTCGATGACCTACATGTTATTTTACATCATTAGGTCTCAACATCTCAACAAAAATGAAAAAACATTTAGGGTAATTACCTGTTTTTGTTTTTGTTGGTTCGGCTTCGTGCTTCTTCACTGGAGTCTCTGTGGAAGATATTACATTCCATGATCTATCATAATTGATATGGGAGTAGGTAGAGTAAGTGCCTCTAACTCGATGACCTACATGTTATTTTACATCATTAGGTCTTAACATCGCTACAAAAATGAAAAAAACATTTAGCGTAATGTGGCGAAACCAACCTCGCCACTGTACACTGGAGAAGCCTGGTTGCTCGCCAGGACCATGGCCCCATGTTAAAAGACATCTTTTTCCCTGCAGAAAAGACTTATTCGTACTTTTCTGCTGGGTGTTCGGTAGATTCAGTATTTGGAGATAATTGAATTACTTCTCAATTATCTCCAGGGCAGAGAGAAGGGATTGTGATGCATTGTGGGATGGTTGAAATGTGTAAGTCTGTGATTGGTCCTTTTACCCTTTGTGTCCCAGTCTCCCGTTTGCTCCCCTAGGGGAGCATAAAAGCCGGGCAGTTAGCCCCAGTAAATCAGATTCTGCTTGACCCACAAACCGAAGTTTCGTCTCGTCTATGGGGGGATTTACTGTATGCTGTTAGAGACTGATTGCCAGGAGTGTAAGCCGCTTTGGTGCTTTTCCTGTTCGTCTGCTAACAGCTATTCGTGTGTCTCTAGTTTGGGAGTTTAGAACACTACTTGATATGCAGTTTGGGAGTTTTGAGTATTCCCTTGGTTGCAGTTCGGGAGTTGGTGAATTCGTGGGTTTGCAGTAGCTGTCTGTGCATCTGAAAAAGGGGAATATCGCCTAAACGGTTTTTAACCTCTTGTGGGCAAAACGGTCCGTTACACGTAACTACCTGATTTTGTTTTTGTTGGTTCAGCTTCGTGCTTCTTCACTGGAGTCTCTGTGGAAGATATTACATTCCATGATATATCATAATTGATATGGGAGTAGGTAGAGTAAGTGCCTCTAACTCGATGACCTACATGTTATTTTACATCATTAGGTCTTAACATCTGTACAAAAATGAAAAGACATTTAGGGTAATTACCTGGTTTTGTTTTTGTTGGTTCAGCTTCGTGCTTCTTCACTGGAGTCTCTGTGGAAGATATAACATTCCATGATATATCATAATTGATAAGGGAGTAGGTAGAGTAAGTGCCTCTAACTTGATGACCTACATGTTATTTTACATCATTAGGTCTTAACATCTCAACAAAAATGAAAAAACATTTAGGGTAATTACCTGGTTTTGTTTTTGTTGGTTCAGCTTCGTGCTTCTTCACTGGAGTCTCTGTGGAAGATATTACATTCCATGACATATCATAATAGATATGGGAGTAGGTAGAGTAAGTGCCTCTAACTCGATGACCTTCATGTTATTTTACATGATTAGGTCTTAACATCTCTACAAAAATGAAAATACATTTAGGGTAATTACCTGGTTTTGTTTTTGTTGGTTCAGCTTCGTGCTTCTTCACTGGAGTCTCTGTGGAAGATATTACATTCCATGATATATCATAATTGATAAGGGAGTAGGTAGAGTAAGTGCCTCTAACTTGATGACCTACATGTTATTTTACATCATTAGGTCTTAACATCTCTACAAAAATGAAAAACATTTAGCGTAATTACCTGTTTTTGTTTTTGTTGGTTCAGCATCATGCTTCTTCACTGGAGTCTCTGTGGAAGATATTACATTCCATGATATATCATAATTGATATGGGAGTAGGTAGAATAAGTGCCTCTAACTCGATGACCTACATGTTATTTGACATCATTAGGTCTTAACATCTCTACAAAAATGAAAAAACATTTAGGGTAATTACCTGTTTTTGTTGGTTCAGCTTCATGCTTCTTCACTGGAGTCTCTGTGGAAGATATTACATTCCATGATATATCATAATTGATAAGGGAGTAGGTAGAGTAAGTGCCTCTAACTTGATGACCTACATGTTATTTTACATCATTAGGTCTTAACATCTCTACAAAAATGAAAAACATTTAGCGTAATTACCTGTTTTTGTTTTTGTTGGTTCAGCTTCATGCTTCTTCACTGGAGTCTCTGTGGAAGATATTACATTCCATGACATGTCATAATTGATATGGGAGTAGGTAGAGTAAGTGCCTCTAACTCGATGACCTACATGTTATTTTACATCATTAGGTCTTAACATCTCTACAAAAATGAAAAAACATTTTCCGCAACTATCTGTTTTTGTTTTTGTTGGTTCAGCTTCGTGCTTCTTCACTGGAGTCTCTGTGGAAGATATTACATTCCATGATATATCATAATTGATAAGGGAGTAGGTAGAGTAAGTGCCTCTAACTTGATGACCTACATGTTATTTTACATCATTAGGTCTTAACATCTCTACAAAAATGAAAAACATTTAGCGTAATTACCTGTTTTTGTTTTTGTTGGTTCAGCTTCATGCTTCTTCACTGGAGTCTCTGTGGAAGATATTACATTCCATGACATGTCATAATTGATATGGGAGTAGGTAGAGTAAGTGCCTCTAACTCGATGACCTACATGTTATTTTACATCATTAGGTCTTAACATCTCTACAAAAATGAAAAAACATTTTCCGTAACTACCTGTTTTTGTTTTTGTTGGTTCAGCTTCGTGCTTCTTCACTGGAGTCTCTGTGGAAGATATTACATTCCATGATATATCATAATTGATATGGGAGTAGGTAGAATAAGTGCCTCTAACTCGATGACCTACATGTTATTTGACATCATTAGGTCTTAACATCTCTACAAAAATGAAAAAACATTTAGGGTAATTACCTGTTTTTGTTTTTGTTGTTCAGCTTCGTGCTTCTTCACTGGAGTCTCTGTGGAAGATATTACATTCCATGATATATCATAATTGATAAGGGAGTAGGTAGAGTAAGTGCCTCTAACTTGATGACCTACATGTTATTTTACATCATTAGGTCTTAACATCTCTACAAAAATGAAAAAACATTTAGGGTAATACCTGTTTTTGTTTTTGTTGGTTCAGCTTCGTGCTTCTTCACTGGAGTCTCTGTGGAAGATATTACATTCCATGATATATCATAATTGATATGGGAGTAGGTAGAATAAGTGCCTCTAACTCGATGACCTACATGTTATTTGACATCATTAGGTCTTAACATCTCTACAAAAATGAAAAAACATTTTCCGCAACTACCTGTTTTTGTTTTTGTTGGTTCAGCTTCGTGCTTCTTCACTGGAGTCTCTGTGGAAGATATTACATTCCATGATATATCATAATTGATAAGGGAGTAGGTAGAGTAAGTGCCTCTAACTTGATGACCTACATGCTATTTTACATCATTAGGTCTTAACATCTCTACAAAAATGAAAAAACATTTTCAGTAACTACCTGTTTTTGTTTTTGTTGGTTCAGCTTCGTGCTTCTTCACTGGAGTCTCTGTGGAAGATATTACATTCCATGATATATCATAATTGATAAGGGAGTAGGTAGAGTAAGTGCCTCTAACTTGATGACCTACATGTTATTTTACATCATTAGGTCTTAACATCTCTACAAAAATGAAAAAACATTTAGCGTAACTACCTGTTTTTGTTTTTGTTGGTTCAGCTTCGTGCTTCTTCACTGGAGTCTCTGGGAAGATATTACATTACATGATATATCATAATTGATAAGGGAGTAGGTAGAGTAAGTGCCTCTAACTTGATGACCTACATGTTATTTTTCATCAGTAGGTCTTAACATCTCTACAAAAATGAAAAAAACATTTAGCGTAACTACCTGTTTTTGTTTTTGTTGGTTCAGCTTCGTGCTTCTTCACTGGAGTCTCTGTGGAAGATATTACATTCCATGATATATCATAATTGATAAGGGAGTAGGTAGAGTAAGTGCCTCTAACTTGATGACCTACATGTTATGTTACATCATTAGGTCTTAACATCTGTACAAAAATGAAAAAACATTTTGCGTAACTACCTGTTTTTGTTTTTGTTGGTTCAGCTTCGTGCTTCTTCACTGGAGTCTCCGTGGAAGATATTACATTCCATGATATATCATAATTGATAAGGGAGTAGGTAGAGTAAGTGCCTCTAACTTGATGACCTACATGTTATTTTACATCATTAGGTCTTAACATCTCTACAAAAATGAAAAACATTTAGCGTAATTACCTGTTTTTGTTTTTGTTGGTTCAGCTTCATGCTTCTTCACTGGAGTCTCTGTGGAAGATATTACATTCCATGATATATCATAATTGATATGGGAGTAGGTAGAGTAAGTGCCTCTAACTCGATGACCTACATGTTATTTTACATCATTAGGTCTTAACATCTCTACAAAAATGAAAAAACATTTTCCGCAACTACCTGTTTTTGTTTTTGTTGGTTCAGCTTCGTGCTTCTTCACTGGAGTCTCTGTGGAAGATATTACATTCCATGATATATCATAATTGATAAGGGAGTAGGTAGAGTAAGTGCCTCTAACTTGATGACCTACATGTTATTTGACATCATTAGGTCTTAACATCTCTACAAAAATGAAAAAACATTTAGCGTTATTAGCTGTTTTTGTTTTTGTTGGTTCAGCTTCATGCTTCTTCACTGGAGTCTCTGTGGAAGATATTACATTCAATGATATATCATAATTGGTATGGGAGTAGGTAGAATAAGTTCCTCTAACTCGATGACCTACATGTTATTTGAGATCATTAGGTCTTGACATCTCTACAAAAATGAAAAAACATTTAGGGTAATTACCTGTTTTTGTTTTTGTTGGTTCAGCTTCGTGCTTCTTCACTGGAGTCTCTGTGGAAGATATTACATTCCATGATATATTATAATTGATAAGGGAGTAGGTAGAGTAAGTGCCTCTAACTCGATGACCTACATGTTATTTGACATCATTAGGTCTTAACATCTCTAGAAAAATGAAAAAACATTTAGCGTAACTACCTGTTTTTGTTTTTGTTGGTTCAGCTTCGTGCTTCTTCACTGGAGTCTCTGTGGAAGATATTACATTCCATGATATATTATAATTGATAAGGGAGTAGGTAGAGTAAGTGCCTCTAACTCGATGACCTACATGTTATTTGACATCATTAGGTCTTAACATCTCTAGAAAAATGAAAAAACATTTAGCGTAACTACCTGTTTTTGTTTTTGTTGGTTCAGCTTCGTGCTTCTTCACTGGAGTCTCTGTGGAAGATATTACATTCCATGATATATTATAATTGATAAGGGAGTAGGTAGAGTAAGTGCCTCTAACTTGATGACCTACATGTTATTTTACATCATTAGGTCTTAACATCTCTACAAAAATGAAAAAACATTTAGCGTAACTACCTGTTTTTGTTTTTGTTGGTTCAGCTTCGTGCTTCTTCACTGGAGTCTCTGTGGAAGATATTACATTCCATGATATATCATAATTGATATGGGAGTAGGTAGAGTAAGTGCCTCTAACTCGATGACCTACATGTTATTTGACATCATTAGGTCTTAACATCTCTACAAAAATGAAAAAACATTTAGGGTAATTACCTGTTTTTGTTTTTGTTGGTTCAGCTTCGTGCTTCTTCACTGGAGTCTCTGTGGAAGATATTACATTCCATGATATATCATAATTGATATGGGAGTAGGTAGAATAAGTGCCTCTAACTCGATGACCTACATGTTATTTGACATCATTAGGTCTTAACATCTCTACAAAAATGAAAAAACATTTAGCGTAATTACCTGTTTTTGTTTTTGTTGGTTCAGCTTCGTGCTTCTTCACTGGAGTCTCTGTGGAAGATATTACATTCCATGATATATCATAATTGATAAGGGAGTAGGTAGAGTAAGTGCCTCTAACTTGATGACCTACATGTTATTTTACATCATTAGGTCTTAACATCTCTACAAAAATGAAAAAACATTTTCCGTAACTACCTGTTTTTTTTTGTTTTTGTTCAGCTTTGTGCTTCTTCACTGGAGTCTCTGTGGAAGATATTACATTCCATGATATATCATAATTGATATGGGAGTAGGTAGAATAAGTGCCTCTAACTCGATGACCTACATGTTATTTGACATCATTAGGTCTTAACATCTCTACAAAAATGAAAAAACATTTTGCGTAACTACCTGTTTTTGTTTTTGTTGGTTCAGCTTCGTGCTTCTTCACTGGGGTCTCTGTGGAAGATATTACATTCCATGATATATCATAATTGATATGGGAGTAGGTAGAATAAGTGCCTCTAACTCGATGACCTACATGTTATTTGACATCATTAGGTCTTAACATCTCTACAAAAATGAAAAAACATTTAGGGTAATAACCTGTTTTTGTTTTTGTTGGTTCAGCTTTGTGCTTCTTCACTGGAGTCTCTGTGGAAGATATTACATTCCATGATATATCATAATTGATAAGGGAGTAGGTAGAGTAAGTGCCTCTAACTTGATGACCTACATGTTATTTTACATCATTAGGTCTTAACATCTCTACAAAAATGAAAAAACATTTAGCGTAACTACCTGTTTTTGTTTTTGTTGATTCAGCTTCATGCTTCTTCACTGGGGTCTCTGTGGAAGATATTACATTCCATGATATATCATAATTGATATGGGAGTAGGTAGAATAAGTGCCTCTAACTCGATGACCTACATGTTATTTGACATCATTAGGTCTTAACATCTCTACAAAAATGAAAAAACATTTTCCGCAACTACCTGTTTTTGTTTTTGTTGGTTCAGCTTCGTGCTTCTTCACTGGAGTCTCTGTGGAAGATATTACATTCCATGATATATCATAATTGATAAGGGAGTAGGTAGAGTAAGTGCCTCTAACTTGATGACCTACATGCTATTTTACATCATTAGGTCTTAACATCTCTACAAAAATGAAAAACATTTAGCGTAATTACTTGTTTTTGTTTTTGTTGGTTCAGCTTCATGCTTCTTCACTGGAGTCTCTGTGGAAGATATTACATTCCATGATATATCATAATTGATATGGGAGTAGGTAGAGTAAGTGCCTCTAACTCGATGACCTACATGTTATTTTACATCATTAGGTCTTAACATCTCTACAAAAATGAAAAAAAAATTAGCGTAACTACCTGTTTTTGTTTTTGTTGGTTCAGCTTCGTGCTTCTTCACTGGAGTCTCTGTGGAAGATATTACATTCCATGATATATCATAATTCATATGGGAGTAGGTAGAGTAACTGCCTCTAACTCGATGACCTACATGTTATTTTACTTCATTAAGTCTTAACATCTTTACAAAAATGAAAAACATTTAGCGTAACTACCTGTTTTTGTTTTTGTTGGTTCAGCTTCGTGCTTCTTCACTGGAGTCTCTGTGGAAGATATTACATTTCATGATATATCATAATTGATATGGGAGTAGGTAGAGTAAGTGCCTCTAACTCGATGACCTACATGTTATTTGACATCATTAGGTGTTAATATCTCTACAAAAATGAAAAAACATTTAGGGTAATTACCTGTTTTTGTTTTTGTTGGTTCAGCTTCGTGCTTCTTCACTGGAGTCTCTGTGGAAGATATTACATTCCATGATATATCATAATTGATAAGACCACCCATGTATACGTGTGTCAGGTTCTTTACGGGCTAAAAGACCTTATTTGGAGGGTGCGCATTCCAGTTTTCCAACTTGGAATTTTCACAGCTGGTCATCGTGCATCCATGTCCTATTTGGGACATTTTTGAAGCCTGCCAATGTAATTTACTCCCTTTAAACAATATAGTTTTGAAAAGTAGACACCTTAGGGCATTTCAAAGGGTGGTGTTTAACACTTTCCATGCACTAATTCTACCACCAGTCTCTGTCAAACTTTTGGGTAGTAATTTTTTTGTGTTATTTTTCTCTCACATTGTACTTTAGGCATGGATTCTCAGTTTCTGTTATGTTTTACTGACAAAGAATACCCCAATATGTGTTCAGCAACATCTCTTGAGTACAACAGTGCCCCAAATGTACAGGTCTTATGTTTTTTTGCATACTTACAGAGGTCAAATGTAGGGCTTTCCCCTTTTCTATATTTGCACATTGAAATTTGCCAGATTGGTTGGCTGGGCCTATGTTGCCTTTGAGACCGTATAGCAGCCCAGGAATGAAAATTAACCCCATCATGGCATACCATTTGTAAGAGTAGACAACCCAGGGTATTAAAAATGGTTATGTGGGGGCGGAGCCGAGCATTCAGGCTGAGTGATTGTGCTGAACCTCAGCTCCCGCTCTATTCTGCACTTTCCAGGGGTAAATCCCCTAAAAATTGGCACAGTCGTGCACTGGAGTGAAGCTACCATAACGGGGACACCCGGGGGAATCGCATGACAACATACCCTGAGGCCTACCGGAGATCGAGCAGCGGGGAGACGCCGCTCCCCGCGCTGACTGACCTTGACACAGATCCCTCTGGGTTACCTCCATCTACCCCCCCGAACTGATGGGGGTCATCTCAGTCCACACCAAGCGACAGGAGGGGCAGTTACAAGCTGCACCCGCAACTCGACGAACTGCAGCACAATAGCAGCCGAGCACATGGCGTATCCAAAATGGCGGCGACAAGCGAGCCAAACTGCATACATGAGACAGAGATCCATAGCTATGTTCAGCGGCGTCTAGAAGGTGCTTT